GGCATTGGATATGGTAGACAAGCCCTGAATTAAATGCTTGACCGGGAGCAGGTGCTGTATGTGTTCCAGCAAGACTGTGCTGACTTCCACACAGCGCAGTAGTGGCCGACTGTAAATTTTCATAATTATATCACTCCCTCCACACCCCAAAAAAAAACATATGTCTTCTTAACCCTCCTGATTTGAATTCCATGGATTACCAAATATAGTATACTACTGAGATAGACACTAACCAGTGGCCCCATCGTACCAAAAACTTGTTGAATGCAACTATTGTAAATATGATGTGCAATATGAAAGATACCCACATGGTCTGTTTTTTCTAAATTGTATATGTATAAAAATATTTTTGAATATATATGTTATGGGGTCCACCCCTTTTCATACAAGTGGACTCGACCAGTGTGTACTTGTACTGTTGCCGGTGAATACCCGGGGGAGATACACAGATAGAGTGAGTAACAGAGATACACTGATACAGTGAACAGTGAGAGTGTGAGGTAACCGCTTTGTAGGAGTCACAGTTGTGAGCACGTAGACTCAGAAAGAAAGTCATACTTCGATACTGAATTTCCAAAACTGTATATATATTATTATTGTTACTAACCGCATTTCTGGATCTACTAACCGTATTACCAATTGTATTATTACATCAATACATTTATTTGCTATATTTCATTCCTGCATTTGTCATTCATTTTGAGACCGGATTTCATCCTGGAATCCAAAACAATATATACTGATTTTTTTTTTTTAAATTCTGAATATCTTTGTTTTTCTTTATAATTTATCCTCAATTACCTAGCATATACTATATATATTTATCTAAACAAGTTTAATTAAAAAAAAAAATTGATAAGGTGTATCTGTTCATTTTTTTTTTATTGTATTTTTCTAATTTTGGGATAAGGAACTGTGTATCAGGATCAAAATTGTGGATAAACTGTCCAAAGTTCATGTAGTTTTTTTCAAGTACTTTTGGCTACCTGAGTCATTTTCAAGAACCAATATAGTGATGTATATAATGTAAATGTACTGATAACAATTTTCCTATACATTGCAAATAATTTTACTATAGATATGTATAGGAAGAACAAGAGTTTCAGTTCTCAAGAATTAATGCAAGTATTACTGACCAGATATGTATAATTTGTTGACAATCCCACATAAATTCCTCTCTTAAAGGAAATGTTGAAACCTGACTGAACAAGACAAGATAAAATAATTGATTACGAATTGTTATCAAATACAGATGCAACCATATCTACTCAAACTTGTTTCATTCATCGGATGTATTTCCAAACATGTTATATTGTCATTTGATGATCAAATATAATTTGACATGTTCAAACTTGTCCAGAAAAAAAATGTAAGATAAAAATATACAGAAAATTCCAATGTAGGCAGCAATAGCCAGAAGATATCACTTTATATATATGTATCCCATTAGTTTCTACAGCAAGCGTGCCTGCAAAAAATGATGTGTCAAAAAGACAGTTTTACTTTTGACTCCCTCAAAAATGTTTGAAAACATATAAAAGTGAATTTATACCTTTTCTTTATCCTTGAGAATTGAGAACAAAGATATTAAATATTATTTACTTATTAGATTGCATATTTATAAGAATAATTATATATTTATAATTTTATAAGATTATAAAAATATGTGAACCAAGTATAATAAAATATTATTTACCATTTGTTGTAACCTAGGGAAGGTTACTGAATAGAATAATCACACAAAGGTTGGTAATAAACGATAATACTTAGGACAAGAACAACACATATAAGATTCACCAGCAATGTGTAGAAGTAGTCAACTGCTAGAAGTGATTCAAATGAATTCCACAATGAATCTCCAACTGCAGACCAACATACAGTATTTATGTGAATGGGGACATACCCATTATTGTCTGTAGGTACGCTACAACATCATTTTATAAAGAAATGAATATGCAAAATAATTTGTTTTATTCAAAAAACTGTGAACAAGAAAATTAAATTTTCTGAGCATTTCTTTCATTTGCTCTTGCCACATAAATAAGTTGAAATCATTTCTTCCTCTGAACCAAACATTCTTTTAATTTTAGAAACGATGAAAAACATTCAATATTTTGAGTGTATTTCATCCTTTTCATTGGATGGACAAAATTCACCTTGTATTTAATTACAAAATGTCTGTAATTTTACCACAAATATTGCATTGTAGTTGGTTTACATATTTTAATAATTTTGTAGTTTTTATAAATTTTTTAATAAAAAGATTTCTTTTCAAGCATATTTCTTTATAAAATAGTAAATAATAAATCTTTATAAAAGGATAATAAAAAATATCACATTGTACTTGGGTCACATATTTTATAATCCTGTAAATATATTCCTGTAAATAAATATTGCTAAAGGAGTCAGAATTATATACCATAATAGTGCTGTCAAGGGAATAATCATCATTTTGATACACTGATTTTTTTTTGCAGACATGTAAGTTAAGCATTGCTGTTTCTACCTATAAAGCTATTCCTTCCAGTCTGTTCACATCTGACATCTCTTTGGTTGTTAACCATATCATATGGCAATGCCTTACTATTTAGACTATTGAAACCCCAATTGATTATAGAAACAAAAATAAGCCCAAAATTCACAAAATGTAAATTCAAACCACTCTAACTCGTGGAGTTACTCAATCAGTAGTAAGCTTATACACTGAGAGACCATTGCAGAATGAAATCTTCATGTAAGGTTCTGGCAAAACATATCATCCATATAGTTCAAATCTGGCTCACTAAAACTTTTGGCTTTTCCCAAAGCTAAAATTGTCATTGAAATGCCATTTTTGAGATTAGAGAGAATGTTACAAAGTATCGGATGGCAACTCCAAATGCAGACATTGTCTGAAAAAGGGTAAGAGATGCTAGGATAATTTAAGTACTTTAAAGAGAAGTCAGCACCATTTGCCTAGGTAGGATCTGTTTTTTGTTAATATGAAAGAGGCTGGATATTTTCTGGACAGATCTTATAAATTTTACTGCAGTTTATTGAAAATAATTGAATGAAAATATATTGTCTATAATTTTGAGAAGAGTCATTATCATTCAAAGAGTTGTTCAGAGTATTGAACTCATTCTTTGTGTAGAGGACCAGGGGGTGAAGATGAAAAGAAAACATGTGCATTTATATTTCCTGCTAGAAGAAGGTCCAGTTACAAGAAAATGGTGGACTTGAATTAAGTACAACTGAAGATAAAGAAGACAAACAAGACCGAGATATATATATATATATATATATATATATAAACAAATATATGTATTAAACAAAACAATTTTATAATGGACAATAACATTTGTGTGTGTATAATATTGGTGTTTGTTCTTTGGTGAATGTTCATACGTATATGTATGTGTGTATAATGTTCATGGTGTCTCCCCACAAGTGGGGAAATGCTATCTCCTAAGAGAGCTTACATTGTAGTCACTGAAATGAAGAAATGAAAAAGAGGATTTACCTCACCTCCAAGTAAGGTGGGATGCAGCACGAGGCCTGAAGAAAAGAGAACAAGGCAAGAGGTCGCGCAATATTTATAGTATAGGGCAAATGACCCCTAGTGACAATTTGGGAATTAAGGAGGAGCTAACTCCAACATTTGTATTACTGTTGTCATTATCATTCAAAGAGTTGTTCAGAGTATTGAACTCATTCTCTGTATTACTTTTGTCCTGACTACAATGTTTCAGCTGATCCACTTGAAAGCCTTCTTCAGGTATACTATAGAGTGGAATACACTGAGCTGAGTTAACAAGTATATCACCATTTCTTTTCTAGGTGTCACTTTATACTGCAAAAATGAGGTATTTCTCTTTTAGGACTGTTGTGTTCATCTTTGTTGTCATATTCACAACTTTTCGGCAATTGTATGCTCCAGCCTTCTTCAGGTAATTGAAATTTTAAACCTAACCCTTTATTTCATCCAGCAGGCTATGTTGTTCTAGTTCCATGTGCCATGCCTCTTCCAGATATCTCAATTTCAGTTTCAGTTATTTTCCTTTTAATACTCAACTAAGTTGGGCCAGTGGATAAAAGCATTGGTTGAAGTAATCCAATGACTTGACCCAAAGAGTTATGAGTTCAGTGCCTGACCACATCAGAGGTTGAGTTACTAAAAGGGAAATAATAAAATGAAACTGAGATATCCAGAAAAGGCATGGCCTGTGGAACTAGAACAATCTACCTCAGTGGATGAAATAAAAGGTGCAGTTTGAAATTCCAATCACCTGAAGAAGACTGGAGCATCTTTTTCTTTCTTTTTATGTGCCAGGTCCTTTCAGGACATAGGCAATCATGGCTCTCCACCTCCCTCTATCCCTTGCAGCTCTCAGCAAGTTCCTTCCCTCTGCTTCCTCTCCCAGACCACATTCTGTCATCCACTTGCTTAAGCCCGCCAGGTATGTCATGCATTGTTTTCCCTTGTCTCTCTTTCCCTCTATCTGACCCATGAGTATCAGATTCTCCAGGCCCTCCTTCCTCATTATGTGTCCTAGAATTCAGCTGCCTCTTCCTGATATTAAGTATAAGCCTCTCTTTGTTTGCATCCTCTCTAAGACCTCATCGTTGCTCACACACTTGGTCCATGATATCCTTAGCATCCTTCTGTAGAACCACATCTCTGTCGCCTCGAGTCTCTTCATCTTTGAGGAAATCGTCCAAAAAGGCGTGAATATGATAACAAAGATGAAGACAACAATGTAAATAATGTAAACAGTTACAATACCTCATCTCAGAAATATAGACAGAAACTTCTGGAATGGTTTTCTTTTCTACTTCCATAAAATAAAAAAAAAAACTGTTTATATTTAAAAACAAAAATATAGTTCTAATTTTTTTTACTGAAAATAATAAAAAAAAAAAATTGACCTTTTATTTGGATGCACTTAACATTGTTATTAACATTATATTAATTATTGACACTTAAGACGTTTTTGTTATTTTGATTTTCAAAAATAAAGGAACATGAAACCCAAGCAACGGCCAATGAGTTGTAAACCAAGAAATATTCCAGCCAAAAGAAGATTCCAGCAGCAAAGAATTTCTTCATCCAACGAATCTCTTTCTGGCCCCGAAATGTCTGGTAACAAAAGTAAGTTAAAGATCTTTTGATAATTGTTTATTCTCATGATTAGTTAGAAAGTGTCTTGTAATTACAACACCAAATCAATATAAAGGGAAAATGTTCCAAAAATCCCCATCACCAACTATCAAATACATAAATCCATAGATAGTATTTAACCCAATATATACTTATCTATCTATCTATCTATCTATCTATCTACATATATATAATTCTGATTAGTACATAAACTAGGCATAATAAGAGATTAACAAAAAATAATAATAAAATAGAACAATAATTTTTTTTTTCTATATACAAAATGTGAAAGGACATGTGATACCCTACCCTCGGCAGCCACCAACCCGGGGTGGGAACACAGTTTCAGTGGCTAAGGTGGTACTGCCACTCCTGGTGCCACCAGCTGCTTTTGCCAACAGACTGGGTATTGTTTTTTTGTTTAGACATGTCATTCTTTTGTGATTTTTTTTTTTTTTTATTTACAACTGCAAGTCAGATTTTTAACATTATGTTAAAAGCATTTGCTTTTGATCATTAACCAATATAAAACACGCTCATTGTGACTATTATCAATGACTTAGAATGAAAGGTAAACAGATGCATTTCAGGTCAGAAGTAGAATTTGTGTTGTGAGCATGGTTTTAATTAACTTTGTTTATCTTGGGTCTTGACCAGATCCAACTCGATGCCTCTTGAGCTGTGGTTTGGAGATATAATATAGTAATTATTATTATTGCTATATAATGAAACTCTGAGACGGTAGCATGGTGGGAAACCGATTACATCAATGATCAAATAATTGGTTAAATCTCTGTGTAGGCTTCATATCTTAATGATTTTTGTTTTTGCTTTTCTAGATCTTTATTTATTTATTCTTGAATATTTTATCAAATGCTCACTTACTCAAGAAATTGCATTGCCTGTTTTGACCCCAAATCAAAAAAGAAAAAATGAAGACAAAAATAAAAGTAGTGGATGCACTTCAGTGTATGTAAATATCTAACTCCTGCTATCATGATCTATGTTTACAAGAGTCATATCAGACCATGAATGGAGTAGTGTTAGCATATCTGGGCTGGTGCTGCCCAGTCCTCACTGTCCAGCCTTAAGAGTTCAAAAGTGATTACACGGCCTTGTGGGTGATGAATGATTCTCCACCCTGCAAACCTTATCTTACAGACAAAATGTCATTACTATATCACTATAGAAGATATTCAGACAATTTACATTCCCTAATTCCACAAGCTGAGACTTTCACAGCTAGGACCCTCCACCATGTTGTGTTCACAGGGACAAATCATCCCCACTCCCTTTATGTTCCTTTGATAAAAAGTAAGTCCCACTTAGACAATTTCTTCCCCAGAACTGTTACATTGTGGAACAAACTCCTAAGAGGATGCTTCCCTGACAACTAGAATCTTGGTCTCTTCAAGTCCAATTTCAACCAGTATCCTACATATCCTTCTAATTTGCACTTCTTACTCCCTCCTTCCCCCTCCCTTACAACAATCATGCTCAGTAACCCTCTATCATGAGTGACTCTTGAGCCATATATGGGTGAGCTAACAGTATAAAAAATGAATTACAGTAAAAAAAAAAAAGATAAGTTATATGATGAAGATTTTTTTTTCTTATCAATTCAAGAAATTTCAGTGTTCACTTAAAATAGGCATTTTAAAACTTTTTTGACATATCTAAATTTGATTGTTTATTTCTGAAGTTGACTGTTGGTAATAAAATTTTGGCAAAGTTTAACAAATGCACCCACAAAAAAATGGTGTGTGTCAAAAGGACAGTTTTTCTCTTTACACTGTTATTACTGTAAATTCTTATAAATAAACTAACATTTTTATTGTCAGTTCTTGAGAAAAAATGTATAAATCTAATATAGTTACTCATCATTATGTATTTATTTAAATTTTATTGTTCACATATTTTTATAAATTTATGAAGAAAAATATTTTCATAGTTATTCTTTATAAAATAGTACCGAGTTATTTTTATAGGTTATCAACCCTTTGTAGGTTATTTAAAGCTGAAAAATATTTGAAATTGTTAGATGTTACTTACATTATTTAAGGTTACCAAGTGGTCCCTCATCTAATTAATGACTGGGCTCAACAATGCTTAACTTTGATGATTGAACTAGAACTGGTGTTTACAGTGTGACTTACCCATAAGCTTATAATATGGTAAATAATAAATATAGCATTGTTGTCTGTTCATATGTTGTTGTTTTTTTCATTTTTTTTTTAATCATGTCACCCCAAGCAAGATGATAATTTCACTAGTACATAGGGGGTTACAGAGAGTGAAAGTGAAAAAGACTGAGAATAGGGAGGATTGAAGAAAGGACAAAAAATAAATGGGATTCAAAAAGACAGAAGATGGTGACTGATGTTGCATTTAAATTTTTGAAGATTGTAGTTATTAGGGAAGCAAGAAAATGGAATGGATTTTCATAGGTGGGAAGTGCGAGAAAAGAAACTGTTGGAGTAGAAGTGGATGTAATGGAATAACCTATCACCCCCATGAGTGACTACACTATAGGTAGTAACTTCCTATAAGTCTCTGTAAGTCAATGGACTACAGAGTCTAGCTGGGATCTGTTCCAGCTAGACGGTCAAACTCTCTGCCTCCGGGCAGTGAGGAACCCGAACGAGGCTCCACCGAAGGGCAGAGTCTCGTTCAGGGAGGTAGACTGCCCCTGAACTCGTTTATACGGGTTCGAAAAGGAATATTTTTGGCTGAGTCTATGGGCTTGGAGAATCCATGTTAAACCGGCCTTGTGACACATGCATCCCTTGTGGTGGGGTAGCTAAATATACTAGCTGGGATCTGTTGAGTACAACTCAGACTTATGCAAGAACTACCGACTTTCCAATAGTAGCACTCACTACTGGATTGACTTGCGACAACCTTGTGCATAACTGTTACCTTTATTCTTATTGTACTGGTTTTTACAATAAACCTTTACTTATTTTATCCACCCTGTTTTCATGTATATACTCCTATTAGCACGGAATATAACAAAAACAACAAAAATTGCTGAGGGAGTATACAGTAATAGTGGTGTTAAGAGAAAAACCATCCTTTTGACACACCTTTTTTTTTTTACATGTAGATTAGTTAAACTTTGCCAATATTTTTAAATCCATCTCCTACTAGAAGCTGTCAAAAAATCCAAAATTGTTGTTTTCTTTGTAATTCTTCCACAATTTTGCCAGTGTTGAAAATTATGTTCTTCTTTTGCTAGTGCCAAGAAGACATTTTAATTTACTTCTTTGTGAGTGCTTCAAGATTCTCAATGGGATTGGGGTCAGATCAGTCTGTCTACCTGTCAAATCAGGCTTTATGGAAAAAATGATTTTCCAACTTGTGCACAGCTCTAAAAGCAGCACATGAAATCCATTTGTTAATTAAAGTGTCAGACATTTAACTTTACAAAATGAGGCAAATATAGAAGTCCAACAATCTGAAGTCCAGATTATTGGATTTTCAAGACTCTCAGGCATTTAAGTGTAAATAAATAAATCTTGATAGTTTATACATTTGCAAATATAAAATGATTTGTTTATTAAAACAATCAGTTTTAATGACTAATGAAATCAGTATTTGAAACTAGGTTAAAAAATACAGCAAAAAATGTTTAAAACTTGTTGATGATATTCAAAAATAAGAAATGTAAAAGTTTATAGGAGCTATTATTATGGGTTATATATATAAATATATGTATATATAAATATATGTATATATAAATATATGTATATATAAATATATGTATATATAAATATATGTATATATAAATATATGTATATATAAATGCTAACAAATGTCAGTGTGTCGCACTTTTCAACTTTATTCATAGAGGCTATAGACTAACATATACAATTTTAGAATCAGGCCAACTCCATGAGCAAATTAAAACATTCTGGGCTGGATCCGAATCCACAATCCTGAAATTTAGGATTCCCAAGTTTTCATTACTGCAAATGTCTTCAGTGATTGTGTTTTTTTTGGGGGTTTTTTTTTCTTTACATGATTTTTTGCAGCAAACTTTTTTGTACAATAACAATTTTTATAAGTTAAAAAATAAATTTGGAAATAATCAAAATTAATTGCAAAATCCAGCAAAAGTCATTTTTGCACACTACAGTTACCGACCACCTGATGATTGCATGAAAACTTAGGAAAAACTTATAGCTAGTCACTGCCCACTTGAAATTTGATTTTATATATATATATATATATATTATGAATTAAATTTCTGGCACACAGTGACTAACCACGACTGACTTTCATGCAATTATCAAGCAGTCATGTATGTGTATATATAATATGAAAAATTTCTCAGAGTTAACCTGTAGAAAAAGACAATATGTATAAAGGTAAAAGTCAAAAACTGTACATCCTTAGCAATACAATAGTGTTTTCTAAATTCTTCTAGTTGCTAAGGACATTTTGTTTGTTGCTAATAGTTAATTTGTTTTCAATAAATTGCCTTGAAAAAATCCACAATGAACAAAATGCATAAGCTAATAATACAATCTTCCTATTGTCTTTTACCTTTTTATATATATATAGGGAGAAGCAAAAATCACACACTATAGATATAATTTATTAAAAGTATAATTAAACATGAAAATTTTATTTATTAGTTATTTAATTGTTATATGTGTTGTTCAAAATGTCCTCGTCCTCTTCCATTTTCAAAACACATTTTAATTCTGTACCTGCAGGATTCATTAACACATCGAAGAGTTTTTTTCTGTTATTTTACTGCATTCATCTTTAATTTTTTAAGTTCTTCATCCTTTGTTAGTTTTCAGCCATCTTCATCAAAATTGTATCTACAAAATAAAAAAAAATATCAAAACAGCATTTAAAACATTAATTAACCCCTATGGTATATGACTTTTACCTCACCCTGTGTGTATATATATATATATATATATATATATATATATATATATATATATATATATATATATATATATATATATATGGCTGGGTGAATCATGTGAAGTCGCATAAAGAAAAAATCACCCTTTACATTCCCCAGACACAGAGTGTCACAGCCAGCTCCAGACTGAAAAGGCACATGGTGAGGCACAGGAATCAGACACAGTGGTGTGAATCCATCAAGGTTGTAGCACATTGTTGGTCTATCACTTATGCAAGTTCGCAGCCAGCCTGGCAAGGTACATTTGTGGTCATGCAAGAGAGGTGCAAGGTGGGGAGCAAACATGATTAGGCAGCCATCATCTGTGAAGATGTGGTGGATAATCATATATTAATATATTTTCTGTTCATGCATTATTTTTATAGATACAATTTATTTAAGTAAATGTTCTGTTTTTTAATTAAACAGTATTAATTAAATTTACTGGCCTGAATTTTCGAGAAATTTTGTAGAAAATATGTGTTCTCCGACAGGAATTGAATATGTATTCCTATACAAAAACCGCATACTTTCTACAAAATTTCTTGAACATTCAGGCCAGTAAATGTAATTAATACTAATTAATTAAAAAAATTACATCTATAAAAATAAGTAAAAATACTACCTATAAAAATAACACAGAATATATTAATAATTGTCGGACTTAATCCATTTCATATATATATATATATATATATATATATATATATATATATATATATATATATATATATATACACACACACACTGCATGCCAAATTATTATCGAGATAACTATTTTTCTAATATTTCAAAAACCGTCCAATCAATTCACACAAAATTTTCACACAATGTTCGCAACACTAGCCTGCGCAATCACTGAAATTTTCGTACTGATCTGCGCAATGTAAACAAACTGGCGCCATATTTGTTATCAGCACAGTGATTTGAGCGGGCCAAATTATTAGTAAAGTTTAAGAATTTAGTGAAAAGATGGGCCGTAAAACCAGTTTAAGTGATGCTGAAAAGAAAGCTATCACCTCAGAAATCTCAAAAGGTATCTCTACCATAGAAATTTCTAAAATGATAGAGAGGTGTCATCAAACAGTGAAAAAGTTCACCGCTGACCCTATACAAGTACTCAAAAGGGCAGATAAAGGCAAGCCAAGGGTTATTTCATGTCGTCTCATGTCACGACTTAAACGAAAGGCCACGAAGAACCCTGGACTTACCAGTCAAGAGCTTTTCAGTCGCATTGGGGATCTTACTGTGTCTAAAAGTACTCAGTGTCGGTATCTGAGGGAAATAGCAACAACAGTGCAACCTGTATCAAAGCCTCCGTTGACGAGAAATCACATTCAAAATCGATTGAAATGGGCCGAGGACAATATGAAGATTGACTTCTTTAAAGTTTTGTTCACAGACGAAACTCAGGCAACACTTGATGGGCCAGATAGATGGTGCAAAGGCTGGGTAATGAACGGACAGAATCGCCATCAGCGTTTGAGACGCCAACAAGGTGGTGGAGGCATAATGATCTGGGGTGGTATTATTGGAAAAACATTAGTAGGCCCATGGAGAGTACAAGATGGTGTCAAAATGAATTGATGATGCATACATATCGTTTATGAAGGAGCATCTTGAACCGTGGATGAAAAGGCAAAGATTTGCCTTCAGAAGGGCCATTGTTTTTATGCAAGATAATGCTCCCTCACATGCTGCTCACAAGACTACTGAATATTTGAAACAGTTAGGCTTTGATGGACCTCGAAAAATGAAGTGGCCAGCAAATTCTCTGGATTTGAACCCAATTGAAAACCTTTGGAACATCATGAAGCAAAGACTGTACACCAACGGACGACAATTCAGGAGCAACGCTGAGTTGTGGAAAGCAATTCTTGACATATCTCACGGCATTACAGCAGATGATATCCTACAATTAACAAATTCTATGGATCATCGACTTCTTCAAGTAATTTCAAAACAGGGAAAGCACATTCCCTATTAATTTGTTTAAAACTGTGCCTTTGTTTGTATCTGTTATTATTTGTTTGATTATCTTATTTATTAGCTTCTTTTGATCATAAACATTCACGTGCAACATTAATAAACGTTTTGTTTGCTCAACTCTGGGAATTTTACTCAACCTTTCTAATAATTTGGCACGCTCAAATCACCGCGCTAATAACAAATATGGTGCCAGTTTGTTTACATTGCGCAGATCAGTATGAAAATTTCAGTGATTGCGCAGGCCAGTGTTGCCAACATTGTGTGAAAATTTTGTGTGAATTGATTTGACAGTTTTTGAAATATTAGAAAAAAGTTATCTCAATAATAATTTGGCACGCAGTGTGTGTGTGTGTGTATATATATATATATATATATATATATAAAAATGCATAAGAGAGTACAGAATAATTCTCAACCTGACCAAGAAGTCCTTCCATCAAAATTCTGATGTTTAATCATTTTATCAGATTTTGGAAAATGGGTTGGGCCAACCTTTTTGTAGTTTGAGTATCAGTTGGGGCATAAAACTGACAGTCACCATACAATATTCATTCCTATGTCTACACTGTCTATATCTATAAATGATAAACAAGAAAATATATAAAATGTGCTCTCCAACAGGGTTCGAACATTCATTCCCCTTTGTAGGAGAAACCACTGTCTGATCTGGTATGCTTTAGACCACCCAGCCACAGAGAACATCAGCAAAATTTCAATTACCCTTTTGAAGAATGCATATCCATTCACTCTAAATCCCAAATCTGTTCATTTTCTTTATTAAGTCTCTTGAATGTGCAGGCTGGTACATGTAATTTACACTGTTTATAAACCGCAAAATAATGTTTGAAGTCATAGGAATTAATGTTGGATAAGAAATCCATTGATTTCTTAGAAATATATAGTGGCACACCAAAGTGGCAAAGTGATGTGGTGTGATGTTAGCAAGCTTGTCTTGTTACATCAATTATGACTTAGTAATGAGCTTAATCCTCACTGGGTGCTCCATAATTTTGGCTTTGTGCCACATCTAAGCTATGCTAATGAAATTGTTATAGTGACACACCATATTCCAGTAGAAGGATAAAAATTAAACCAAGCTATATTTGCTTCAACACTAACTATATTGGAACTTAATGTATAGAGGAATACACACCAATCATTTGTAAACATATATGCCAATGATATAACAATATACGGGTGCACTGCTAAAACTCTTGATGAAACAGAGATTAGTAGCTGCCCTCTCTTTCGCTCTCACGCTAATTTCCCAGTGGGTAAAACACTGGCTGGTTACATTCCTCAAAAACCAAACTAGTTACATCACCTCTGATCAGACCCTGAACTACTACCAGTCACAATGAATGGATGTTCCCTCAAGGAGGCAAATGTACACCCAACCTCAAGTGGAACTCTTATATGCATCACTAAAGATGCAGGTAAAATGATCAGCTCTATGTACCACTCTAGTAAGTACCTGATTCCTCATATTATCCTCTACCTTTTATAAGAGCCAGATCAGGCCAAAAATGGAACACTCTTACCATATTTGGGCAAGAGCTGCCCAGACCTCACTTTTCAGTCTTGATAGAATTTAAAAGCATATCCAAGTCCTTGTGGGAGAAGAATTATTTTCCACCCTCCAACCTCTCTCTCACTGCTCTGTCACTACTTCTATGGAAAGTGCTCAGATGAACTATATTCCTTGGTTTCATCAGGTCTAACCATTGTGGCTAGTATCCACTAAGCCACTTACGTAGCAGCAAACCACTCACATTCTGTCCGTATTCCATCAACAGGAAGTAAGTTCCACTCAAACTGCTTCTTCCTGCAAACCACTACTCTGTGGAACAGACTCCCAAGAGAATGTTTCCCCAATCACTACAATCTTAACCTGTTCAAGTCTAAAGTTAACTATTATCTTCCCCTCCTATCCATATAAACTACCTCTTAATGTAACCCTCTACTGTGAGTGTCCCTCAGGCCTTGTACAGGGTGAACATTACTGTTTAAAAAAAAAAGGGTAAAATTGCAGTTTTTTGTACAGTTACTCACTAACACTACCACTACACTACATATCATTTTAGTCAATCACTGCACTAACAAATTAAATATTTCTGGCATTTGGAAAAAAGATTAAATAATTAAATATGGAATTTTACAATTTTTGAGCAAAACTATTTTGGGAGCTATTTGTATGTTGCTCATTGAAAAGTATTTCCATGTTTTCCCTAATGACATTAATGCATCATTACTGGCAACATTTTTATAATATGTATAATGTAAATGTCAATGATTTTACTAAAGAAATATATTACAAATTAAGAAAAAAAAGGAATGTTAGTGAACAGAAATTAATGCAATCAAGACACGAGAAGAATCAATTTTATGTCATACGAGGTAGCAATCTCCTAAAAAAAAAATACCCAAATCAAGCACTGAACATCATTTCCACCGGTTGGTTACATTAGTCACTTTGATGTGTGGCTTCCACATAAGTAAAAAAAAATAAACTGTTGTACCTTATTAATATTTCCAAAATGCAAAATAGGGCCAATATCTGTAATAATTTCTTTTTATTTTAATTACAGACATTAAGGAAAAAGCAACTGCTGTAGCTTGGCCAGAAAAAGATAATCAAACAAGTGAGTATTTTCTGTCTGAATTTCTAGGATGAGTATTTAATTAAAGTGTAGATTAACCAGAACTTCACAAAGTCAAAAAAAAACTTGAAAATCTTTAAAAAAAATGATAGTATTATTTATTATCACTTATTTGCACTATTTACATGCAGACTATTGTCCTCATTTTTATTGTTGTTATCAAAATATTTCAGCTGTTGTGCCCTCTGGTCTTCATCAGGTGTATGTCAATCCAGGTAAGCTACATGGAATTCTGAACCTAACCCATCATTTAATCTATGGGAGTAGACTGTACTCATTCCACTGCCCATGTCTAAGGATATCTCCTCTACTTCTTATTTTTAGTACTGCTCAATTACCTTGTTTCCACTGAGTCTGAGTAAACACTACCCAGTTTTAATCCACTAGGAGACAATAGCCTAGTGGATTAAAGCATTGGTTGAGAAATTTGGTGACATAGTTACTGCGAGTTCAATGGGCTGGGCAATGTGTACTTGGACTCAGTGGAAACAGGGTGAGCAATAACAGAGCAATACTAAAAATAAGAACTAGGCATGAATAGTGGAACAAGAACAGTCTACCCCCATAGATTAAATAATGGATCCAGTTTGGCAACCTGTAGTTTACACAGATCTCTATACATCTTCTGAAGGCCAGAGGGCATAACAGTTGATATGGTGTGATAGCAACAACAAAGATGGCAACAATAGTTCACATGTAAGTGATAATAAATAATACTATCATTTTTTTTTAATGATTTTCAAGTCTTTTTGACTGAGTAAAGTTCTGGGTAATCCACACTTTAATTATATTACAAGTCACATGATAAGAAAATAAGAGGAATTAAGCTCCTTAGAACTGGTTTGTTCCATCAGAGAAGATTTCAGATTGCTAAGCTTAGGAGGATTATTTAATTGTAATTATTGTAAAGGTTCCAAGAAAAATTAATAACATTTTTCTGTTTAAGCTGTACTTCAGCACACTTTTCTTGAAGATCATTATTGCAAATCATGTTGGCCACTACTTAAATACTTTTCACGTGTTAAGGAAGTGAAATGATTCTTCTATGATTCTTCTTCTATGTGCCATTCCCCTTCAGAACATAAGTGATCATGACTCTCTACTACCTCCTATTCATTGTAGCTCTTAACAGTCTTTATCATTTTACTATCCCTCTCACTCCCAGTTCTATCATTTATTTACACAAGCTCAATAGATAGGTTACTCCCTGTTTCTTCCTCTTGCCTGCAATATGTCCTGTGAGTGTTAAGTTTTCCAAATCCTCTTTCCTCATTATGTATCCTGAAAATTTTGACTGCCTCTTTCTGATTCTGTCATTTTTTTGTTTCTATATCATAAAAAAATTTCTTGTTGCTTAGATGTTTTGTCCATTGGATTCTGTAGAACCACACACTCTTTTGCCTCAAGTCTCCTCTTCATCTGTGAAGAAATTATCCAGCATTCACTGCCATATTATAAAAGGATTGATATTACACAGTAGTTCAACATTCTTTTCTTTGAATTTCTAATGAAATTTTCTTATTTATTATTACTTTGTTTTGGAAGACATCTTTTGCTATTCGAATGAGTGTTTGGATTTTCTTGCATCATATTTTCCATTATCTATTAAAACACTTCCCAGATATTTATTGGTGAAAAATATTGTTGTGTACGATACACCTAATTTACATAAGTGGAGTACCGACCATATAAATATGGGTTGGTACCGGAAGACGGGGTGAAGATTAAGAGATCGAATCGAGAGACTCTGCCCGACTGCGATTTAGTCAACCCATTATGCAGGAACAGTCTTCCCAAGAATATACCAAAACTAACTGTAAATATTGTGTACCTTTTCCTTGTTTCAATACATTTTGTTAACGTACATTTTGTGTTGTATTATTATTATTCCATGCTTATCCAAGTTTCAACAAATATGTAATCCAGTATTAACTGCTGCATGGTTGATTTATCAGTAACTAAACCAGCTCCTCCACCAGGTTTTTTTTTCTAGTGAGCAAGTGGCATGACACAGGACTAAAAACAAGTCCTGTTAAGGCAGATGAACCTTCTTGTAGGTCAGTGGCTATCTAACACAGTAGGGTAAACTGAGCTGCATCTAGTGCAGTGATGACATGGTATCACTAGGCAGAAGGCTACCTTGACTGAGTCAATAGCCTGAACAGAGGGTTCCACTGATCAGATCAACATCAACATGTTTGTGACAAAGAAAAACCTTCATGTTCAAGGACATTGGCTGTGGCTTGATTAGCAGAAAGATGGGTTCTGTCGGTCTTAGAGACGATCATCCTTCTTTGAACCTTGAAGAAAGGTGCAATAGAATCACAAAGAAAGAACTGTACTTGAGGACATTCAACAGCAGCAACAACTAAAATGGATAGCATATGTAACTCAAAAAGTGAATAATGACATAATAAAAATGCTGACATTCCACACTACTTCAAACAAAAGGTTTGGAAGGAATCCCTCATCAATACTGGAAAGAGTGATAACAGTTACTGAACTTGAGAAACCTAAAAAAATTTTAATAGAAAGATTTTATAAATTTGAAGCAAAAATAAACATTCATTTCTCCATCAATGAATGCCAAATGGTTCCTTATAAGGAAACAGCTAATATTACCATTAGAGATTAGGAAAACAGATACTACACTTGGTATTTACTTGTTCCCAGACAGTAAAGGGATATGGCACAAGGTTGGTTTAAAGTGTGGAGCCCAAGCGTATACACTTGAACTACGGTCAAAAATTACCCAGTCCTCGTAACTAACACTTTGGTGCAATGAGAAAACTGCTGCCACAGGCTTGGAATCCCCAGAATCAGGCATTCTTCATTTATTTATGTTCTGCCTGAAAATAGAAACACATGAGATAAAATATAGTGTGTCTGCCTGAAGGCAGATACTACACTTTGATCCCAGTTTGATGACTGGGGAGTGAAGAAAAGCTTAACTCAAGAAGCACTGGTTGATCAGTCAATGAATGCCCAATGTTTTCTTTACAATTATAACATTTCTAGGAAGATAAGATCATGAAACAGTCTGAATGATGACAGTAGAATAAAACAGTTATTGTTGTTCAATAAAGTTAATGTCCAAATTATTATTATTTTCATTCAATAAACTTAAAGATTCCCCCAACTATTACTTACTGCACAAGTCCTTGTTATGTTACCAGGTAAAAAGAGTTAAATATCACTTATCACTTTCTATTGTATATCTGTTCTCTCTCTTTTTTCACAGATGAAATATCAAGAGAGATCAATGACTTTTTACCAGGTAAACAGAGAACAGTGAGAATATTTCAGAAACGAGACCAAAAGTAAGCCAATAATAATAATGATTTTCTTTTAAGGACGGTTCAAAGGGTTTTCAAAAATTAACGTTTGAAACTGTCCTGGGTATGATAATAAACTACATCTGGCAGCAAGGCCTCAGATCAGGAGATTTTGAGGAACCACTTAACATGTTGGCTTCCACATAACCCACTGAAAGCTCGTGATGGTATGTCTGCAAGGCCCACATGACCCTCCAGTCAATTTCTTTTCTATGAGGATTATTTGGAGAGGGATACTAAGATTGATTATAAGGTCATGATACACCAGAACAACATGTTTTTCCAAAAATATTTAAATATTTTTGATTTTTTTTTGTCTTTTATTTTGTTTCCTTTTGGAATTTCTATTGTTGTTTTTTGGGGTCATTTTTTTTGTTTTACATACACAGTCATATCTTGTAGGTGTGTGGGACTCTGGGTTGTAAAACAAACTCAGTTACCAAATAAATGAATTAAGATATAGTGTTGGGACAACAAGGTAAATGAGGCTTGGAAGCCAACATGTTAATTGCTGCTGTTCTCAGGACCACCCTGATCCAGTGTGGTAGCATCTGTTAGGGTCTCAGCTATGGGCAAACAGTAAATCCCCAAACTGGGATCAAAAAACTGAAAGTATAAAAATACATTTTAATAAAATCTACCAACAATAGATTTTAAAAAATAAATAAATTACCAACAACAGATTTTTGTAAAAGAAAAAAAAATTTCATCAATAGATTTTTGTAAAAAGAAAAATTACTCAATCTCTTAAGAAAATTAAATTTTGGCATTAATTGACCCACAAGGAGTTCAAATGTTATTAAACAAACATTTGAAAATATAAGAAACAAAATAGACAAGTATATTTATGCATTAAAATAAAAACTGCTCTTATATTTTGTTTTTCATTGAAGAAATACAAATTGAAATAATACATTCACTGCTGCCTTGGGTTTTTGAACCCTTACATAATAGCATCTATGTTTTCACTACATATCATTAAAAATTGTTATGTAAGATTATCTATGCTTTATTTTTAGTAAATAAAATAAAATTCATTAACATATCAACTGCTACCTGATATTTGAACCCTTATATAATGCCATTAATATTTTCACTACTTACCATTAATTATTGTCATATAAGACTACTTGGGCTTAATTTTGGTAAACAAAATTAATTTTTTTCACACATTCATTAACTTTGGATAGTTAAACTAACAATATTATTAAGGATCAAAAATAAGATTATTAAATCAAAAAAAATCATAAGCTGAATAAGATAAGGATTTAAATTTTCATTCTTTAATATTTAAATTTTTATACTAAGGTTAAAATAAAAACTAAATTACCACAATTGTTTTATTAATTGAAAGAAATCCAGAGTTCAGAGTATTTAATTTAATTAAATTAATCAGTTATCATTGATATAAAAATATAAACAAATTACCAATCACTGTCAGAAGAAACATGCATTTTTTTTATCATTTCACCCCAAGCAAGGCAATAAAGTCACTAACATGCAAGGGGTTGCTGAGTGTGTGAGAATATGAGAGGAGAGAGAACAATAAAAGAACACAAACTAAGAAGACAGAAGATAGCGATTGACATTGCATTTAAATTTTTGAAGATCAAAGTTGACTAGAAAGCAAGTGGCCGGGAGAGAGTTCCACAAGTGAAAAGTGTGATAGAAGAAATCATTAGGATAGAAATTACAGTTAGATACATTTAGCCATTTCTATTGTAAAATGGTGAGACCTTACTGCCAATCTAGTACTGCACTTAAATTCATAAAGTCTAGGTACCATAGAGGAAAGTTCAACAGAACAATTAGCATAAAAATATTTATAGAAAAGGTACAGAAAAGCTATGTTACAGTGGTGGGAATGTGACTGAAGCAGAGATGCCAGGTCAGGACCAATAATATTATAGATTCTTTGTATTTTATCTAGAATTTTTAAATACACAGCAGGAGCACCACACTATGTATGACAATAATATTCAAAGCAAGGATGAATAGTAGACTTATAAAAATATATATATATATTCTGATGAGAAAAATTGTCTAGTGCAACAAAATCAACCAACTTTCCTAGCTGCAGACCTGGCAATTGATTCAATATAACCTTTCCATTTCATATCAGCAGAAAATGTTAGAGAAGCTGTAATGAGTCACACTCCTGAAAGTTAGCATCATCCAAGTACATTTAAACTTTTCTAGACTTTATTGTGGAATTTTTCTACTCAAATCATTAATAGACCTGTGGGCTGTAAGCTAATTTGTAACAGTAGCTTATTCAAAAGGAGTGTAGAAAATGTTATACATGCTGTAAATGCATAGTCAAAAAGATAGGTGTAAAATAAATGTTAATATTTTGCCTACATTGTTAAGAGATATTAGGGTTCAAGCACACATAGAAGCAATTATTATAAATACTGATTCGCATAATACGATCCTACTAATCCTCTCTACACAATCCTTTTTTTTCTTTGACCATGCTAGGTATATGTATGTTGGCCAATATCAAAGTTGACAACAGATATTTTCATTCAGTTTAATCTCCTCATCTTTGTTGTTGTTATCATAGGTAGAAACCCACCACTTCTCCTTCCAGCTAATGTGTTACATAGTAAGACTTGTATCAGTAAAATCCTTATTATCTCAAAAAAAAACTCTTACAATCGAAAAATATTTTCTGGCTTTAAATACCTTGAAAATGTTGATAAACCATAAAAACAAATCAATTCAAAAATAACCTTTCTAAATATCAATATTTAAAAATAAAAATACAACTGATGAAATAAAGCTGATGAAAAATAAATGAATTGTGCTTGACAGTCAAATTTAAACTTGTAAAAAAATATCTTTTCAATTTGCTTTGTAACAGGGAAAAATTCTTGTTTGATAATGGAGTTGGTGAAGGTGAAACTCAACTTTTTCATGCATCTGCTTTTCCTGCTCGTCATGTGACAATGTCTTTACAACATCGGACATCTGTAAAAGGCAAAAAATATCCAGTAACACCTACATCTTCACTGAAAAGCAACCAGCCACAGGGAGAAATGTCCCAAGAGAGTCACAAATGTATAATTCCTGCAACATCTACAGAACCAACAGTTTATGACAGTATTGACACAGAAAGGTAGATAAACATGTTTTATTGCAAGAAATTTGAACTGAAATATTTCTAAAATAAATTATGGAATCTTTTTCATCTTGAATAATCATTCACTAATAATGAACATTTAGTGTCTATTATTTACATTATTCATATTAGGACTATTGCCATCATCTCTGTTGTTGTTATCACAACATTGCAACCATTCATCAAGTGTATATCAATCGGGCTAACCTACAGGGAATTCTCAATTGAACCCTTTATTTTCAATCTAGGGGGATAGATTGTTCTCATTCCATCTAGTTGTTTTTTTTATTACTACTCAGTTATTTCTCCAATTTCCACTGAGTTAAAATACACACTGCCCGAACCAGGGATTGAACTCCCAATTACTATGTCACCAAATTCACAAACCATTGCTTTAATCCACTATATATTATAGTCAGATATATTCCAATTGATGTCTCTGCAAATATCCTTGAATGTCAAACTAAAATAAGTTTACGAAATACGTTTCTTGCTGTTTGTCCCTACACAAATAAATTTATTTATATATGTAAAATCATTGTAGGCACTGAATGTTTAACCCCAGCACTTGGATTTGAATATGAAACCACCTACTCACATCAAAACTGTGTTGACACACTAGTCATCAGCAAAAGAAATGAGACACCTTGACAAAAAAAAAAAATCAATTCATTTTAATTTTTACTAAGAAGCTCTAAGTGTTCAACAATATATTGCAATATCCAGAGAATATGGTGAAGCATAAAGATGACAATCTTCCAAAGGCTCTCTTGTTCAGCAAACTGGTCTCCAGCAAGGAAGTTCTATTGAAGAGATACATCATTTTTTTCACTACAAAGAACTATGCTTTAAGTGGCTGTATTTATTTTTTACTCTTGATGCATTTAACACACCTGGCCAAAGCTGCTCAAGTAATCCCCTAATCATTGCTATCAAATCAGTCCGTAGCATTTCAAGTTAGGAATAATCAAACTCAAAATTGATACTAAATAATTTCAAGTTGGACTAACCAATTTCATATTGAGACTAAACAATTTCAAGTAGGTACTAAACAAATTCAAGTTGGTACTAAAAAAATTCAAATTGGCAAATATATTTTTCAACAAAATAAATGAGGCATAACAATGAAACTGAGCTAGCAAATATTTATTGTCATTAACTCATGAATTATGGAATATCAATGTACTTGTGCATTTCAAAAATTCATGTCCTCAAGATCCAAGGCTGGCTGTATAAATTGCTGAACATGTGCCAGCAGAGCAGTACATTTAAACACAGTTACTAGATGCATATTATTAGCAATCCACTTGCTCAAGCTGTGCACTGCGAAATTCAGTTTGTGTTGCATTTCCCCATCTTTTGTCTGCAAGAACTCGAGGAAGCTTCAAAGCTACCTCAGATTTTACACCGGACTTAAGAATTGACATTTGTTTTTGTTGATATCACTATTCACATTCTCTGGCTCATTGTAAACTTTTTTGAGTGTGAATAATAGTCCATTCAAATGTTCTCGAACACATTTGGAACTCACAACCATATTGAATCTCTGCTGTATCAAAACTGCCAGCTGCTTTAATGTTATTCGTGGGTTCTCCTCCACACCCTCTTCAATAAAAGCTTTGTGTTCAGCACCAATTTTAGAACACCAAAATCCGCCATGTTGCTTTTCAGGTTCATCACATGTAGTTACCCATCGGTATGCTGTGGATTTTTTAATTCCAAGACTGTTCACAAGACTTTGCCAGTCTCCAATAGTATTGTATGTTACTCTTATTTACTTCTTCAAATCAGCCGCCTGGACTTTTTAATATAATTACCATGTTGATTATGAAAATCTGCCATGACAATCATTTCAGATGAGGAGGGGCATGATTAATTTATTGAACTGATGACACATGTCATGAATTGCTGTTCTTGAGCATTTACATTTACACTTGGGTGGTACCAGCTTGAAATTGTTTTGTCTCATTTCAAATTGATTAGTCCAACTTGAAATTGTTAAGGGTCTAGAGGTGACCTTCTCTGGTTTGGAAATCTTTTGTTTGATATTTCTATGTTAGTTTCACCAGCCTAATCTTCCAGCTTAGGATAACATGGAAGGGAGTGTTGCACTTTGACACCAAAGTTAGAAAGATTTAAGAAAAGCTTTCCTCTTCCAAAATGAGTTTACACATAATAGATACCAACCTGAAATTTTTTTATATTGGAAACTTTCCTTGTCCTATACAAATTGTCTTCTCTCTCAACCCTATATGAAGAGTGACAAGGATTCTTTAAATAAGACCTTTATCTTCTGTGAGATCAACTACTGCCAGTTAACAGAAACTTCTAACAGGAGATCATACTAATGATGTAAGTCTATGAGACAAACTCCTTTCTGAACCAAGCAGCAGAGAAGGGCAGAAGATATGAATGGGCAGCATAAAACTGGAACTCCCACCATTTTTCTTTTTACTATGTTTTTTTTTTTTTTTTTTACTGTGGTTCACCTAATATAATGCCCAAGAGCCACTCAAAGTAAAGGGTCACTGAATAGACAATGGTTGATTTGAAGAGGTTAAGATTGTTGCAATCGGAGAAGCATCCTCTGGGGAGTTTGTTCCACAAAGTAGTGTTTCTTGGAAAGAATATGTCTGAATGGGACTTCGTTATTTACATTATTCGGACTATTGTCCTCATCTTTGTTGCCATATTTATCACAACGTTTCGGCCGTTGTATGCTCCGGCCTTCTTCAGGTGGTTGGAATGTCGAACTGAACCCTTTATTTTGCTCACTGGGGTAGACTGTTCTAGTTCCACGTGCCATGTTTGATGGATGTCAGCTATCAGTTATCTCCTGTTAATTTTCCCTCTGAAAGTTCTCCACTGCCTTAACCGGGTATTGAACTCACACTCTTTGGGTCTTGTCACTGGATCTAACCAATGCCTTTATCCACTGTGCCATGTGTCCTTGAGGAATAATGTAAATAATGTACATAATACCTCATCTCAGAAATATAGACAGACTCTGGAACTTCCTTCTTGTCAAGGGAATACAAAGGGAACGAGAATGATTCAATCCTATATACATTTCATGTCAAGCCTTACCTGTAAAGGTCTCAATTGCTGGAAGTAAGGTATATAGCTCATTAGAACATTTTCCATGAAGCTAGCAGAGGCTTGCAATGTTTCATCTATGGGAAAAGGAGTGGAAATAATTTATGACTCCAAGTTCATGTAGAAAGTGAGGATTGAGCAGCTAAAGCTCAGATATGGCAGTAATACCACACGTTCCTCTCTAGTCTCTATAGAAAATCTTGCCTCACCAATAGAGACCTTGCTAGCCTCAGACATGGGAAATTCTCCTAAATCTAGTACTACATCTGATGCCTGGATTTGTGATATAATATGCTTGCAATGTTAGAAATGCTGCATAGGTGAAACATCTAAAAGTCCACATCTACAAAAATAAGAGAAATCTATATTGAGACAACACCTTGAACTTGCTCAAAATACACATAAATGAGACAGACCATAACTTCAATATATACCAACCTAACATAATTTATTACATAGAAAATACTTAGAAGGAATCCTGATAAATATTTTACTATCTATAAATGCATCACAAACACACTTTATTATATCACCAACTTTTATAAAATCCCTACTTAAAGAGCTGTCTACATACAACCATAATCTAAATTATTTCACTCTCACACAAAACGTCCCCAATCAACATACAGACAACTACCAGAAATAATTAAAAATGCCCACTAGATGCTCAAACGTATGCACACACCTGTGCATGCACATTATCAACTAGAGTTGTGATGCACAAACACACATGAATTATACAAACCAATGCTGCTTGACAGGACAGATACATGTAAGGTCTGCTTAATCAAGGAAAAACAAACAATACAAAAATAAAAAATACCAGGACTTTCTTTTCCCCACCTTATTTCATTTTCTGATGATGTTTAAATAAAAGCAAAACATGTTAAATTTATGTTTTCTATTTATTACTTATCATATAATTTTGTCAGATTCTAATCCGTATTTGAACCAAATTCATCATATATATGTGAGTGTGTGTGTGTGTGTGTGTGAAGGAATATACAAAATACCTTACATTGATTGCATAACTCTTATTTTCATGCCAAAGCAATTATCAAGTGCTGGTATATTTATTTTTATTTTAGGTTGACACCCATTTTGCAATATTTCTGGTTATCACGAGATACTTTATTGTTGGGGTGGAATATTATTGTTGTTAAAATATTTAAATGAATTGTGGTTTAATTTTGAATTTTAATTTAGGCCCAGATTAACATTTAAGACTGAATATAAGGTTGGAAATAAGAATAAAAAATTCTAATTTAAAGAGACGCTGGGCAGAAGTAACTGCTGTTAGATGTCATCAATTTTACTTTTGTCTTATAAAATGCCCAAACAATTTTTCTGAATATTCAACTGATTATTCTTATTTTCAATCTTAAATATCCAAGTGTTATCTGGAATAGTCAAGCTGATTGAATTTTTTTCTGCTTATAAAATAAGCATGCTGATTTGAATATACATCCTTCCAGAAATGTTTATACAAAGTTTATTGACAATAAAAAAACAATGAAAAAAATAATCATCCCATGGAGAAAATTACTTCAGAAATAATAAGCATGCAATACTAAACAAGCCCCGTGCCAGTTAAAGAAAATAATTTGTACTGATACTTGTACTTAGTACATAGGGGTATTGGAATTTCTCAGATTCAATAAGTCCAGTAACTTTTATCTTATATGATACATAATATGTACATAGCTATATAGACTTAAGCATTATTATAATTATTATATATTCTATAGCAGTAGTTCCCAAACTTTTTTTTCTCTTTTTCTTTTGAAAATGTGATAAAAAGTACATTTAAAAATAAAAAACAGAGAGTTAAATGATGATAAGTGCAGAGTCAAAGTCAGAACATTATCATTGATAACTCTCTCCTCCTATTTGCAGACCCCAGCTACTATGTTCTTAAATACTTGATATAATGCAAAAATATCACAATGATAAAATCAATCAGTAATTATTTATAACTATTTATACTGGGACTCATGCATACAATTACAAGTAATCCATAATAATATTTTAAATTTTGAAATCATATTTATTTTTGGCATATGAATTTTTTGAATCTGTTTCTAAATTTTTGATTATCTTTCAATCATTCCTCCTCACCTGCTATCCTCTTCTACCACACATGAGGTGCACCGCACTGTTTGGGAACCACTGTTCTATAGTAATCTTGTTATATTTACAGGTTGTTACGGTTGAACCTTTCTGATCCTGTACTGATGTCAGATTTACAAGAGGAACTGATATCAAGACATGCAGGAGAAAATAAGAAATTTTTGTCTACAATGGCACCACCATCTTCTCCAAGAGTTGCATCTCCAATACCACATGCTAACTCAGCAGCTCAGCAAAGAACCTATAATAGTGAGACCTCTACAAAGGAGCAAAGTGATATCAATCGAAATACTGCCAAACTGAGTGAAAGACATGCAATATCTTCCCCAAAGAACAATTCCCTTATCAATCTCTGTGATGTACCAACTGTTTCATCTTCACCTCAATCTTCTTCCATTGATACCCAAAATAGTGAAGAGAAAGTTCCTGAAAATGACAGGAAAGACAATAGTAGTTTGGTTCGATCAGTAGATGAAGGAATTTTGGACAGACAACCCATGTCAGACGTGCGAGTGAGATCTGTACAGTTGCTTTGTACACATTCTGGCAGATTAAGACACACAGCTACCCTAATAGAAACATACCCAGTAACCTTCCCAACAAAGTATCCAACTTCTGAAAGAGAAGGAGCCAAAAATCTCACAATGACACCCAATAAGGTGTTTGTATCAAAAAGCAATTACAAACCAATCAAAATGGTTTATGAAGAAAACGGACAGTGTAAATCACAGGAGATGGGCATTCCAGTAACTGTGCCTCATTTGCATAGATATTTGAGTAATCTGCAAAAGAAACAGATGAAAATCAAAATGGGAAGAGGTATGACTCCTCAGGGAACAGCATCTTCATTGCCGCTTACAGATGGTATCTATAAAACCATAAAGACGTATGAGTTTGGCCCTGAAGGACCCCAAGAAACTGTTCAGAAAACTCTCATTTGTCAAAATGCCACTGCTGACAAGAGACCAAAGACATCAAACTCTACACCAGTTACAAATAAATCATTGTGGAAGTCAAGGCCACAAAGTGGACCTTCTAGATTTTTGGTAAGTTTTTGTTTATAGTTTGTAATTAGATGAAAGATATAAACTAGTTGAGTCAGGCACAAAGACATTAGCATGTAACAACCTTGGTCAATGATATTCCTTACTTTGAACATCTATTGGGACTGAAGTTCACTCCAGACCTAAAGTGGAACTCATATGTACAATCCATCACTAAAGATGCTGGGCAAATGGTCAGTTCCTTATACTGCTCCAGAAAGTACTTGACTTCTACAGCCATCTTTTATATTTAAAAGAGCCACAGTTGTCCAAAAATAGAGCATTGTTGCCATATATGGGCTGGAGCTGCTCAATCCTCAGTTTTTGACCATGACAAAGTTCAAAAGCTTTGTGGTCATCTCTTTCCCACAGATAAATTGTTGCAAGCCTCTTGCAATTATTTCCATGGAAAATGTTCTGATGAGCTACATACCTTAGTTCCATGAGTTCACATCTTTTCAGCTAGAACCCACTATGCTATGTATAAAGTGCCAAATTACCTTCATTCCCTTGATTTTCAATTGGCCATATCACATTGAAACACAAGGTTCTATAGCCTTGGGTGGCAACTGGTCTACTGCAGAAAGAAATAGCAACCTAAAGCAGGAAAAAATCTGCCTCATCAGTCATGTATTGAAAGCCTTATAACTATTTTTTTCTTTTTTTTTCTTATTGTTCATTCTCATCTTACCTATATATATATATATATATATATATATATATATATATAATAAAATATAGTTTTAAGGTATGGTATATATATATATATATATATATATAGTGGTCAATATCAGGAATAGAGTATATGTAAAAACTGAAGTCAACACTGAGTTGCAACAGTATATTATATGCTTAAATTCAATCTTCAGACTACATATATATATATATATATATATATCTTTTTTATATGTTTCATTGAATATGACAGACAAGGAACATTTAATTTTTTTTATTTACTTTTTTCCAGCAATCTTACATTTTTCCATTTGGTGGGAGTGTGAAAATTGTCAGTGTAGTCCATTGTCCCAAGGGCTTTCAGCTATATATATATATATATATATATATATATATATATATACACACACACACACACACTGATGAGCCAAAACATTCTGACTGTGGACAGAATGACACCTATTACTTCATAACAGCTGTGCATGTTAGGGTCAGAGGTATATAAACAGACAGGTAAATCTGAGTATTGAGTAATTCATATTGATGTTTTGAAGTCAGCACTTACAGGTAAGAAGAAAGATTTATGTGACTTGATAAAAAAAATAAAAATGTTATGGCAAGAAGACAAGGTCAGAGCATTTTAAAAACAGCATGAGCTGGATGGGTGAGGTTGGGTTGACTGATTTTATGACATGTAAACTGCAATTGGGTATTTAATGTTGAAATCTATCCCATTATTATTATTATTATATTTAAGTCTACAGCATTTACTTGGTTTTTAGATAGATAAATAATGGTCATTTATATTTGAATCTGTAATCATTTACTTGGTTGGTGGATGCAGTCAGGGTGTTTTAAATCCCACCGACAGGGTATACAACTGGATGGATGTTTGGGTTTAGATGTGCTATGTACATTGCAGTGATTCAAGGAGGAAAAAAAATTAGCAACCACCAAACAAGCCATTAGGCTGCCAAGATTTTTCCATTTACTAGAAATGACTAGAGGCTTTCTTGCCAAGTACTAACCAACAGAAGTGTTTAGGTGACACAGATTGCTTTAATCAACCTTAAAAATGGAATGATCATAACATGCTATGCATCAAGCCATGTCACATTGTGACAAAATGGAACCCAGCTGTGCTCAGGACACCCACATAGTATTGGATATGTATGATTTGTGCTTTTATGTCCAACAGTAAGTTTATATGGCAAGATCTTCAAAGCAGCCACCCACTTGACCAACAAGAGAATAAAATAGATAGATAAATAAATGAAAACTTTCAGAAACAAGTGCCACTTGGCTGGAAGTTTGAAAATTCTGTTCACAGATTTATATTAACAGTTAGAAAAGTTAAGAGTTCTGATGTTAGAGAATAGTTTCAAGCCACCCATAGGCAGGTTGCAAAAAATGGGCAGAAGTCTGATGGAAGAGAGTCCTCACTAGTCAAAGAGAAGAGCTTGTCCAGTTAGTTTGTCATGACAAAAGATACAGAAGCTGTCCCAAGTGTCACCTACCTAACCCCAAGCCTGTGCACAAATCTATGTAAAACAGTATTAGTATCTTTCGTTTATTTGCCATGGTATTATTTCACGTTGTATTTCCCTTGTGAACATACACTACGCCTCACTTAGTTTTTACGTACACTGATGAGAATGAGAATCAAGATAAATGTGAGGTGATTTGATCTGTCTGTAAAGGACTGAGTGAGAGAGAAAAGAAACCCTGTTGTATGTTTACAGCATATAGGGCTGGAAAACTGCAGTATAATCAGAGCAGCCATGCTAACCAATGTCCATTGCTAAAAGTGTCTACAGTGGACATTGCAAGCATTGGCAATAAAACCTATCAATGGAAGGTTGACTGCTCCAATAAGTTGCAGTTTCTGCTAACAAGGTGAACAGGAAGCACTCAAAAAATAACAGGCTAATGAAGGCAGTGTAATGGTTTGAACAATGTTCTGATGGAGAAATACGAGGGTAAGTAAAAAATTATCTTCTCTTTTGCCATAACATATCTTTGGGTTTGTCACATTGCCTTCTGCTCATGTGTGCTTATAGTTGGTACTATTATGGTCACATGATCAAAGTTTGAGCTTGATCATTCTAGTTTTCTTGCTGCTCTTATGCTGTAAACATGGTTGCAGTGTCCACCAAGGAGGAACAAAGAGCAGTGATCTGATTTCTCTGATTGGAAAGTGTTGTCAGGGGCTGAAATTCAGCAAGCTCAAGAGATGGTAATGGTGAACCAGTGAGTTATCATCAATGAGGTAACATGTTCTCTATAGATTCAGATCACTGCTTTATGTTCCTCCTTGGTGCACACTGCTAGGGGACAGGCCATGTTTACACTGTAACAGCAGCAAGAAAACTGGTATAAATTCATGTGACTGAAAAAGACACAAGGACGTCACATCATGGTAGTGAGAAAATAACTAAAATCATAATTATATATATATATATATATATATATATATATATATATATATAAAGTGCGCAGGTATGCAGAAAGTAGAAAAGAACACATTGGGTGCATGATCCGGGGTTCCTTAGTATTTTTGTTTTTATTTTTAAGAAGACAATGCTCCATACAGAAGTAGAGCTTTATTATAATAATATTTTTTGTTTAAAAATATGATTTGCAAAGGAATCATATTTTTAAACAAAAAAAATATATATATATATATATATATATATATATATATATATATATATATATATCTATCTGAACGCTTTCAGCTATACATTTAGCCATTTAAAAGGATTAAATATTTTAACTGTTAAATAAGAAATAGTTTGTTGCATGTATGTGTTTATATAATTTTTTTTTTTTTCAAAACCTGGTCAAAATATTGTGTCCATGTTCATAGTTGATATTATTGAGTGTTGGTTTTTTTGTTTTTATTAATAAGGCTTCCAATATTTTTAGACTTTTTTGCATGTAGATGATGCTATTATATTTGTGTTGTCAACAAGTATGTTACGAATAGGGTCCAGTAGGTCTCCATGAATATTTAAATGAGATCTAATTGAGCTATGTTAAGAAAGGTGTAGAGTGAGTCTTTGTCAAACATGTTGTAGTATGGCCTATATAATTATTTATGAATTTTGATTGATCAGGAATACAATTCCTTAATGGGCATTTAACAGTTAAAATATTTAATCCTTGAAAATGGCTAAATGTATAGCCAAAGAGAAATTTTATAAAAAAATAAATCAAAGCACCTTGTCTTTCATATTTATTGGATGGTGAATATATATATATATATATATATATATATATATATATATATGATCAGTCAGGTTGGGTACTATGACCCACTACTACTTGCTGCATGGTCATGTTATCGGCAACTGAACTAATTCCCTCACTAGGCTTTTCTGATGGGGAGGACACCCACCCAGAAAGACTAAAAGCAAGACTCATCAAAAGGTGCAGAGATGTATAAATACATTTGAACTCCTTAGCCTTAGTTAAGGTATCCCACTAGGAAAAAGAAAACTCTGATATGACACCTGAAACTTGACAGCATCCAATGATGTTGACCCATTCCTCTTTTTGCACACCTACTATTCTTGCTCAAAGAGTGGGATTGAACCAGCACAATGCTTTTCTCCACTTTAAAAATTTAATGTACAAGCATTGCTTAGTATTGTAACTGACAACTGAGTCTTGCAATTGCTGTCTTGAGATGGCCATACTCAGCAACAAGATAGCGAGTCTTGCAATTGGTGTCTTGAGATGGCCATACTCAGCAACAAGATAGCAGCCATCATATATATCAGTTGAATATTCAGAAAAATTGTTTGTGCATTTTATAAGACAAAAGTAAAATTGATGAAATCTAACAGCAGTTACCTCTGCCCAGCAGGATGCAGGTTTGAATCCTGCGAGAGAGTGTATATTTTCCTTTAATAAAATTTCTCAAATATTCAGGCAAATAGACAAAAATATATTGTCTAATTAATAAACAGAGCATTTACTCAAATATGCATATCCACTAAAAAATAATATTTAAATTGATATATATATATATATATATATATATATATATATATATATATATAAGCAAATATATGGATATAAATCCGACAGTATTAAGAAAAATATATGGAAAAACAAAATCCGAATATGCAAATATGCTGTATGCTGTTTTAATGTCGAAACGTTTGACGTCAACATTGAAATAACATTAAAACAGCATATTTGCATATTAGGATTTTTTTTTTTCCATATATTTTTTTCTTCATATATATATATATATATATATATATATATATATATATATATAATCACAGCACCCTACAGGTATGTGCAGATATACCCTA